AATTAAGCTCTCTAAACTGCACAATGAATCTCTTATTTACATCATGTCTGCACTTAGTCATGAGATGATTCATGAGTGTGCAAAACTGCACTTAAAAACTGCGGTGCTTTCAGCGGTGAGGGAATTCTGACAAAACGTTTCTGATTGGCCATTGCGTTCAAGAAATCAACAGATATGTCTGTGATTGGTTACATTGCTCAATGCTGCAAAAACACGTTGAGGGTATTTAGCGCTTGGCTAAGCGCTCCAATTGCAGCAGGGCCGACATCAGGGATTCCATGACTCACAATTTGGGGGGGCAATCGCCCATGCTGCGGAGTAATACTCTGTGGTTTAAGACAGCACTTCTTTACAGAGAACTGACTAATTCCTCTTGTCCTGGCAGGATTAAACTGTGCAAATGAAACTTCAAATCAGCCCAGTCTGGCCTTGTAAATTACTCGCGATCAAAGCACTTAAAGAGAGAGATGTGTCCCGACACGGTTTCAGTAAAGGTTTTTATCGCTCCTCATTGACCTCGGCTTCAGTCCGCGAGGATAAAAGCTGAACATGATATAAGCTTTTATGCGACTTATTGATTTTACAGCTTTTTAACATTTAATTATTTGGATACAAAATTCCACTCGGCATACAACAGGAGCCATGAAAATCACGCTTGAGCGAGATCCACCAGGGGAGGAGATTCATAATACCTCATTTACTTCCGTTCAGCCTAGCTAGAGAAGACAGCCCAACACATCTGGAGATGACAGTCGCAATGAGAGTAAATTATTATCAACGGTGCCGTAGTGTACGACTGATGGCTGATTTTGTTTTTTAATTAGTGTACATAAGTATAGGGCTGCCAGATGTCAGTGTGTTTGCCTGCCGTTGTTCGGCGTCCTTGAATCAAATGGTTCATTCCTGGGCTGAAACTATAACAGCTGTACCCTTCCTCCCCTACCTGCCACCCTCAGACATGCAAACTGTCTTATAGAAAGAACATACACACGGAGAGGAAGACGGTTCCGTCCCGTTGAAGGTGTTTGCCTTTCTTGTTGTGTAACATGAACGATCTTGGAAGTGTAATTAAGCGTGTCCTCAATCCTCGTTCCACTGCCGTACGGATGCTCTAATTAGTGCTATCTGAAGGGCCAGGTGGCCATCTTGTCTTCTCCCAGAAGAGGAGAGTTATTTTGTACCGTTTGTGTTATCTAATTATTCATTTTAACATCTCCACCCTGGCTGCATATCCTCCACAACCTCCACGGGTTCTGTTTCCATTTCCATCTTGACTCTCGTAGTGTCAGCTCCGAAAGCATATTACGCTCGCTCTCTCTTTCTATCTTTTTTCTCTTTCTTTGTTTTGTGTTATGTTCTCCTTATTCCCCCATGAGACCTGGTTTGTTTACTTTGCCTTTTCCACATCTTTCTCTGTGCTGCCGCAACGGTAATCTCTCTTTCAAATATTTGTTTCTTCCATCACAGGATTTTCCGCCGTGCGTCGCATTCCCAGAATCTTAACTGTGACTGTGACTCATCGCAGTCACTTTTTCATACTTGCTATCTCCTGTACAAATCTATTCACTCTGCCCTGTAAGACGTTCAGATGGAGGCACCGTTACTGTAGCGGAGGTTAGACAACAAGTTCCACTGTTGTGGATTGTCACATTTCCTTCCGTTTTGAGGCACACGGTTGCTTGTGCATGTCACGGCTCACGTCCGGGTGGAAAATGGATGATGGATGGCCAGGAGATGTAAGCGGCCAGGGAAAGTAATTACAAACTTTGCCTAGGGTAGAAATTTTGTAGATAAGCGTTACCGGAATGTCCAGGTGGGCAGAAAAAGCAAACAGATGAGACTCTGTGAAGGTCAGGATGTTGCTCTACCAGAACAACAATAATGAGGCTACCAGCAATTCAACTAGCTCTGTTTCCAACATGAAACATGAAATAAAGCATCACAGAGGGTTTTGTCCTTTCACTGGCGAAGGAAATGGGCGGTTAAGGAACAGATTGGCTTTCAAATTGGAAAAAAGGAAAGTCGTCACAATTTTCGTGCCGTCCAGCGGGAATCCCTCAAGCTGGATGACTTGGCAGGCGAGTGAGTGTGTTATGTAGGGCAGGACAGATCTGGTATCTTTCCCAGGTTGGGTTAATTACGTCCCGTCAACCTCTGGGAAGAAGACTGAAAATTTAACTGTCAGTATAACATGTGTTTAGGTGGGTGTGGGTGGATTTCCCCCCCAAGAGAGTCTCTATTCTTTATCATTCTGTGCATGTTCATTCAACATTGTAGGAGTATTTTGACAGCATAATTGCTTGATTGTGAGAAAAGGGTCTTATTAATTTATGGAAGTGTGGATTTGCACAAAATCAAGGAAGTATTTGTTTAAATAGAAGGAACATAGAATAAGTATATACAGGCATATTTATAATATATATACATAAGAAAAAAAATGTGTGAAAGTTGTGACTTTGAGGTATTACAGCAAGTCACTGGTGGGACATCTTTCTACCTTATTTACCTCCCCTTAAGGGTTCATATTACTACCCTAAGATGCTAATATGCACCTAGATATGGTACAAAATTGTCTCTTTCACACTTCCACAGTGACAAGCCCCAGAAGGTATAATTTTTTCACATTCTGTCAGATAATATTTCAGGTGTGTTAAACAGCCAATAGCATAAAAATGACAACCTAACATGTAAAATAAGGATCAGGTAAAATGGAAAAATCTTCCAGGATGTGTATTCATTTAGCACACACACTCCTGCTCATTAATGGTGGATCCTGGAGACTCGAGTAACCCCAGAGTGCAAAAGTTCAGATGGTAAAAATCAATGGAGTATGCAATAAACATAAGCAGCCTAATGTGTTTCTGCATCAGGCTTCACAATTCAATTCCTGCTCCCCGACATAATGGAGAGTTTCAGCAGGTGAGGGGGGTTGAAAACCGCTGTGATTGAAAGGTAATCTAATGATATGACACATGATATTTTGCGTCCGTCTCGGGTGGACGACTGTCCAACTCAAAAGAGGAGAGATGAATAAATAAATAAATTTAAAAAGAGGTTGAATTGCACTTACATGAATCGTGAGGATGAATGCACACCATGACTAAAAGCCTGACTGTATTTAAAGCAAAGAGAGCGGACAGTGTGCTATGAGAGGTGCTGTGTTACACTGTTGATGCTGTTTAGAGTATATCCAGACGTCTGTATGTGTTTCTGTGGTGTCAGATGCAGCATCAACATGAGCCATAATTTTTTCCGTCATGACTTGCAAGTAAAAAAAAAAAAATCCATAGACTCACATTGAAAGAGGGAGCCTTAATAAATAAATAAATCTCCCAGAAAAAGAAAAAAAAAACTGCCAGAACACCCTTGCAACCAGAGAGCGAGAATGTATTGCTATTGCACAGTTGATATAATTTGGCAAATATAGACAGTAAAACCTTACTCTAAAGCAGGGGGTTTCAAACTGGGGAATGGGCACCCCTGGAGTCCACAAGGGGGTGCTATGGGGGGGGTCAGAAAATTTTTTTAGGGGACGGAAAGTGTGAAAATGGAACTAAAACTCTCATGTGCTATAGTTTGCATATAAGATTCAAGTCAGAGAAGTGTGCAGGATTTTTCACTTAACTTCTTAAATGAAAATCGAGCAGGATTTCTTCAAGGAAAGTCTCTCTTTTATATTGGCAGATCTAAATACCAGGGCATGATGTTAGAGTTTATATTTCCCTGTGCAGGTTGACCTCTCCACTTTCCTCTCCCTCTTGCTATTTTTCTGACTCAGTCTTCACACGTGTTCATCGGAGGTGCCTGCAGCCTTTATTGTCCTAGTCATTTCTCAGCCCTCCTTCCAAAGGTCATAAATTTGGCTCTTAACTGTCCCTGTGAAGCAGAGATCAGGGAGGGAGATTAGATGGCGCACACTAGATCGATGGCACATGGCAAGGGCGTGAGTTCAGTTCTCTTTCTGCCACCAGAGCATTGTCTCCAAGAGTTCTCCATCGTATAGGAAATCCTCCATTCACTGTTTTCCAAATGGTCCTCTTGATTGAGAAACATAGCACCTCCCCCTTTTATTTATTTATTTTTCATTTATTAAGAAAGCTAATAAACCACTACAAGTTCTTTCTTTTGAATTTGCTCTTTTTTTTTTTAAACAATGCAAAGATGTTCTCAGCTGTTATCAATTATTTGACACAAAAAAACAAGATTACATTTTATGTGCATTGTAGATGTTTTTATTCATATTTGTATTAATATTTATTTGTATAAAAATAATATTTTAATAGACATAATTATTAGTATTTTGTTTATTATTATTGCTTTGTATTACATTTTAAAATTGCTATTTGTTGTATTGCTAATGCTATTTACTGGTGCTAATATAATCTTTTCTCTCATCTCTCTTCCAGGTCTGCCAAATAGTGTTGGCCCAGTTAGTAAGTAAACAAACTCATAGATCTATATCAACAGGAAGTGCGAGATGATCAGCTTTGCTTCTCACTTCAACACAGGTCCACTTCTGGTTAAACATTTATTTCTGATTTTCATTAGATCTATCGGATATAAACTGCGCAACCTAATCTGATTGGTTTGGAAGTTAATTAGAGTTGGGTTGAGTTAAATAAATTTCTAGAAAACAGCAGTTTTCTATAGTAAAGATTATGGATGGACTAATTCAAATGCTGGCTGTGCATGCATTACATGTATTATAAACGCTACAGGGGCTGTAAAGCAGTTCAGGATCTTGTCCGAAGTAGAAAGAGGGGAAGATCATTTTAATATGAGAAATGCAGGTCTATGTGGTATTATCTGGTCCTGCCAGGGGCCTCATAAGCCAGCAGACAGATAGAGTTACAGGCGCAGGGAGGTTGAATGTGAAAACTGGAGCCACAGAGATATTGAACAAGTCAGAATGCATGTAGAGCCCTGAATATTTCCACATGCTTTACTTCTCCTAGGTCCAGGACAAATATACACATTTCCTCTTTTGATAGATTGGTATAATATATCACAGGTGTATGGAATAACATTACATAAATCAAATATTCAATAATGAACATTGAAATTATTACAAGAGTGAATGGAGTCTTATTTATACATAAATTACTGTTTGATGTTACCAGTGACCATCTGAAACTGGTGAACACAGAAAAAAAAATCTTGCACTAAAAGTTGCACTTTTAATCAGAAATGTATGTCAAACCAAGTGGACACTCCCTTCTGCTCTCCTCAAGTGTGTTTTGTATTTGGCCGTATAGCATGGCCTGTGCTGTGCCATTTCTGCATGGGCTCACTCCATTATTTCTTATTCAAACGCCATGCCATGAACATTCACTCACTGTCCTCATGGTGAATTTACACACCTCCATCCAGAAAGACACAAAGAGGTGACACTCACAATGCAACCAGGGTCCCAAACAGCTTGATGTTACTTTAGTACCAAAACCGTCCTTTGACCATCACTATAACAATTATAAACACCATTCTCTCTTCCTTCACGTAACTATAGAGAACGCTTGTAAAGAGTGTCCTTGAGGACGGAGATGTTATGCCGAGACTGAAAAAGAAAACACTGCAGTTTCCTCAGAGTTGCTTGAGGGTAATTGAATTCTTTATTGACTTTTCCCAATTCTATTTCAAGTTTATTAAGCCTGCCAGAATTGCCTAATGCAGGCATTAGAGTAAAATTAATATTTTAAGATGAGATTTTGGCTGTACATGATTGCATTTCATTACTGGGATGGCATTGATTAAAATCTGTCACTTCTCATTATCCAATTTTTATCCAAATTTTCACTAACAAAAACATTAATGAAGAGCAGATGCGATGAGCATTGCTCCTAATCACTTGCTAATACGGAACACATTTTATATCAATAATAAAGCTCAGCGTGGTCCCATGGGTATCACGGCAGAGGCTTCTGTGTGTGCAAGTGTCATGGAATGTGATGAGAGAGGACAGCTGGATTTGTCCATCACTCAGAGGTCAGATCTGTTCCAAACTGATAGTGACTACAATGGTTGTCCATTGCTGCTTGCTCACTCTTTGTGTCTCACTGGATTCAAAAATTAAGAGAGAACTTCCATTAAAAAGGGTTGTAGAAAAAGTGTTTCTCCAAATATTGGATTAGTTTGATGGATCCAAATTGTGCATTTATGTTTTTTAGTTTACAAATGAAAGCTAAAGGCTAAGAATTGTTTGAAATAGTTTTTATGAAATTGAGTAACAAACAAAGCAAATTTATTGATGAGATGATGCTGACAAACCAAGTACTAATCTAAAGAAAGAGAAGCACTTTATGATGTTGACACACCCTGAACTTACATTATCTTAATCTTACAGAAATTATTTGCTTTTCATCTTTAATTTATTTCATGAAATATTACTGGAGCTTGAACTGAAAACTCATAGTGAAGTTTACGGAATTCCCCAAATCACATGGAAAAAGAGATTTCTCCCAATGTGATTGGACATAGAGGCAATTTCATAATGGGTCTTCAAGATGGGTTTCCTCTGTCAGTAACCTGCGTGTGCATGCTCTCCGAGTCCCCAACCACCATGCTATGTCCCTGGAGAAAAAAAAAAATCTTGATTCAAATTCATAGATGTGTCCTCACTGGAATTCCTGCACCCTGTCCTCGTTTCACGTGCCCACACACTGAGGTCAACCACGAAGCAGCACATAAGGGACTTAACCATGTTTGTGTTGGATGGATGGAGCATTTGGTTTGGTCCTCTCACTTTAGTGCTGCCTCTGAGATTGACACGAGACTGCTCCATTCCCAGCCCTAATATTTCCGCCGCTAAGGAAATGAATTGTATGTAATTATGAGGATATTCCCATCAAATCGTCATTTCAAATGTTAGCTATTTTTGTCATACAGAACCACACTTCAAATGAATCAATTTGATAAATTGAACAAGCATCTCAAGCAACCATGAATACACATGCGCACAATCCAGTCTCACACCCGAAAGACACGATTTCCCTTCATCACTGTCAGCCGTCATTCCCATGTATTAATATAGAGTAAGCCACAAAACACAGCTCAATTACATACAATCTCTAGAGATGATCTGTGATTGTTCTATTGGTTGCTTGTTCTCATCGAGCCTATCAGCTCAACTTTATGAATGACCCATCTGGAGATGTGTGTAGCTGTTTATGTGTACATGAGTCCAAACTGGACCCGTCCTAGTGCATCTGACATCCGACAGCCAGTGCATTCAATTAACACCTGATTTCTCCTGTATGCATGCAGTTCGGCAGAACATTTCATCCCTAGGTGTCGCTAACCGAAATCAAGGTAGGGTACATTTTTAACTTGGATACAATTTCCTATGATCTGACTCACAGAACGATTTTTAGGCTGATGTAAGAGTGAAACAGATTCAGCAGAAGTTTGCTGACAGTTAGTCTTTTTTGTATATTTGTTGTACTGAATCATTCCAGATGGACAAACGTCTTCTTTTTGCCTTTTCTCTTTTACGTACCAGTTTCTGACATGTCTGAACACTGAGATTTTTGAGCAATCAGCATTTCTAAGAAACAAGCTGAACAGCCATGAAGACACACACAGATGATTTAAAGCGTTACGCCCTCCATTTTAATTTGGCATGGCGCTCTCTCTTGGGCCCTCTCAATATTTTCTCAGCCATGCTGGGGAGTTTTCATGGCAGTTTTAGGTAGACTGATTCAAGGTAATCCATTGCGCAGATGTCCAAAAAGAAGCATCACGCAAACAACGACCCTGAGTAAACAGCGTTGTTGATTGAATTGGGGGTTGGAGGTTAGTAAAGGACATAATGCTCATTGCCCCTTGGTTTGTTTTGTGACTGCACGATGAGCTGATAACTTTGGGATTGTTCTGAGCCCTGTTGTTCTGTTGCTGTGTCGGACTGGCAGCGGGACGTGGGGATCTAAGCCTTACGCACTCTCACACAAGAAGCCTGGGAAGCTAAACTACACTAATGCCAGCTGAGCAGTTTCTGCCAGCAATGTAGGCTTTTTCTTTTCTAAAGCCATCAAAAACTTCCAAACCACAGCAGCTGCAGGGAATGGAACGTGCGCTGTGCAAATTTGTGTTATTTTTGTATATTTTTTATCATTTATGGCAGAGTAACAGGATTAGTCTAAATTCTTTTCTTTTTATTGTCAATTTCATGCTTTTGGCACAGACAGATTGGAATGTTCATATCATCATTTGGGTTTCTGTTGATTTCATGTGTTTTATTTTATTTATTTTGTCTTTATTTTGTCTAGTAGCTCCTCAAGTTGCTTTGTCAACCGTTCCTTCTGTACAAGTTGCAAACAGTAAAAGAGGTAGGAGGACTCGATTCATATACTCTCACTATTCTGTGTCAGTGTATGTTGTCCGAAATACCCCCTTCACTATGCCCTGAATGAATCCAGAGTGAGTCCTGTACCTCCTGCACTTGCAGAACACCTACCCCTGACCCTACTATTCCCACTTTGCATAGTATCAAGTACAAATATAGTAATTTTAGTGCAATTGTTTACTTTGTTTTATGATTAGCTCCATCCTGAATCATCATGGAAGCTCTGTACCGAATGCTTCAGAGACCCAAGTCTTTGAAAATTGAGGAGATTTTACTTGATGAATCAGGAGGGAAGTGTTCAAATCATGTTGACTTTGTCAGATTAACGGGTTATATACAGTCAGTGTTGCTGATCCAAGTGTGGATGAGAACATTGAATCTGATATAATTCCGCAGTGGCTCACAGACGAGAAGCCCGTCAGTTTTTTGTTAAAGTGGGCCCTCTAAAACATTTTCCAGGCAGAATGATTGACATATCCAGGCAGCTTTAAAGATCGCTTTACAGGAGATATGTCTGTCTCAACTCCTCCAGTCGGGGGATGGGGGAAAAGGCTGCAGAGGAGGCCTGACCTCAATCCAGATCTCGATAATGAGAAGCCCTCCATTTCTCCCGAAAGCCCTGGAATCATCTCAGGAGGGAGGGACGTGGAGGCTTTATGAGCGTAACTCAGATTTTTCAGACCTATTGGGTTGAAGGTGCTGGCCAGTTGGTTGACCAAGCATCCCTGGCAGGTCAGGGTAATGCCATCAGTTTGTTATGTTATGCCAAGAGCAGCATCCGAGCATCGAGATTCAACTTCACTTTGAAACTAGGACAGACTCCTTGCGGGTCCTGTATAAACGTTGTTTGGTTTCTTTGGAGGCTATGGGGAAATAGATAGGAAGTTATTTCTGATTTGCTTGTGCTATTTCTCATTTTGGAGCTGACAGAATCAATACTGAAAAAAATGCTTTGTCTTTCATTTTTATGGCAGTAGTTCTGTGGAGAGGATACAGTTTGTGTACCCGTTTTCGACCTAAGAGATGCTTTGTTATTTCGGGGGCATAGAAAATAGAAGCCATTGTTTTATTCCTGTGTTTGAAAGTTCCAGCTCCTTCACTACACCCTTCCATCATTTCTGTGAGACAACTCTCCATGAGCAATAGAATATAGTACAGCGGATGTAAATTTCAAATCGCACGTGCACTCGCATTCTGCCGAGGTTGAAAAGTACATCTGCTCGTGTTTGATTTCCATGTAACATTCCTGTTCTTATTTTTCTCTCCATCGCTGTGGTTTGCTCGAGGCCAACTCTCTAATAACAACACCGCTTCTCCATTCATCTTAAGGTGATCTTACATCTAACACCGCTTCTGCTGTTTCAGACCATCCAAACCTCGCATGCCATGGTGCCCCTCTTCTGCAGCGCCGCCGTGACTCGCACACACTTACCCTAAACACAGCCACATCTCTCTCCTCTTTTTGCAAGACTGCGAATGTTTCAGTCACTCCAATCGCTGCAGTTACCTCGAAGTGCTAAACACCGTCATTTGCGTGAGCTGTAAGCACAATACTAGAGGGCAGCACTGCCAGCTGTGCAAGCTTGGATACTACCGCAATGCCTCAGCAGAGCTGGACGATGAGAATGTTTGCATAGGTCAGTCCTCCAGCACTCCTATCCACCAACACGGCTTATCGCACATCACACTCCCCCCAAATCTACCATCTGGCCTTCTGTTTCTATTGCTCCATCATCCTCCATCTCCTCACTCCCTTCTCTGTGTCTGTCCATCCCTCTGTCATCACCCGAGTCTCTTCACGCATGCTTGTGTGCGTCAGCAAAGTCACGTTGATCTCCACGTTGACCCTCCAGTCTTTGACTACAAAACCAGCAAGTATGATGTGATGATCCACAGCAAATTAGGACAGAAGACACTGTAGGGGAAAAATAGGGTAATTTTTCATGTTTGTTACAAAGCCAATAAAAGAAAAATAAACAGGTAGAGCAGAGAACAAAAAAACAAAAGCCAGACAGGTGTCATTGTGAGACAGAGGTGATGTCTGCCATCCCACTTCCCCAGTGAGGTGTCTGGGAGGGCTCGCACCCACAGAAAAAGGTGCTGCGTGTTGCATATGTCACTCTCGGAAAGAAGAAGCAAGAGAAAGAAGAGAGCGAGAGAGGTGTCTGGGAGCAGGTCACGACTGTGTGACTTACACACACATCTTTAGGTGTTACAGGTCACAGACTCTGACCTCCACTTCAACCGAGCAATATCTGTAGTCACAGGAGGGCCACAGAACTGTCAAAATATATGAAAAGTGCATCTTGGGAGAGGTTTATGTTAGTGTTTTAGCAATGCATTAATAATTAATAAGCATTAATGACTTTACTTAGAAATGAAACGCGTATCTGCTCTGTAGCAAAACCTTAAGGCTATGTTCACACTTGTAAAGTGTTCTGTTGTGCTAGGCATCTGAAAACACTGATGAATTTATACTGAAAAGAAGTAGGAGAGTTTTAAAAGGAATTATTTGTTTCCTCAAAAAAAGAAGAAATGTTTAAGAACAAATGTACAGTCATGATCAGAAATGCCATTACACACATCAGAGTTTCAGGCTACAGGTCCAAGTTCTTCTGAGAAAGCACAAGAGAATTAATCAGATTCTCTTTTGAATTGATAATATTAAAACTGTTGCATATTTAATACCCCTCAGTAGCTCAACATCTGCTCAAATTATTTGTCGTCTTTGTGGATATCCAAGAAATGCAGGTTTTGAATGGCACTTCAGCACCATAAGCAGACCTCAGTTAATTGGCCAGATGTCTTTGGGTGATCCATGACCTGGAAATTTACTGACATTGCCAAAAACTTATAGTCAACATGAAATCAAAATTGACTATTTACTTGGATAAAATACTTAGATAAAATTTTTCCGATCAGTATCTTGTTTAACTCAGAAATACATAAATTAAAATTAATGCAAATGCCATTTAAAGGGTTAGTTCACCCAAAAATGAAAATTAGCCCATAAATTACTCACCCTCAAGTCATCCTAGGTGTATATGACTTTCTTCTTTCAGACGAATCCAGTCAGAAATCCACTCATACGTCATCCGATTCGATTCGCATAGATTCGCTACAGGAGGCCTTTGTTCACCCCCCGGAGCCATGTGAGACATTTTTTTATGGATGGGCGCTTTTTATTGTACTTATTTTGGACTGATGCATGCAACACCCGCTGAGTGGCATTAAACAGCTTGAAAGATCAAAGACAATTTTTAATATAACTCCTACTGGATTCGTCTGAAAGAAGAAAGTCATATACACCTAGGATGACTTGAGGGTGAGTAATTTATGGGCTAATTTTCATTTTTGGGTGAACTAACCCTTTAATGTAGACTTCAAGGACATTTTCTGTAGTATCAAAGGATTTAATTATGATTATCAGTGTTATCAGTATTTGAGTTGAATGCACTTATGGGCAGCAAGTGAATTGGCTAATCAGGAAACCATGTGACTGTCTTTTGGCGCTTTTCCACTGCATTGTACGGCTCGGTACGGTTCACTTTTGGGGGGGTTTCCACTGGGTACAGTACCTGGTACCTGGTACTTTTTTTAGTACCACCTCGGTTGGGGGTCCAAGCGAACCGTACCGTTACCAAAACGTGGCGGGCAAACTCTGCTGATCAGGATCCAGCGAGAGCTTGATGGGGCGATGCGGAATGAAAAAGTTTTCCAGGAGTCGCGGCAGTAGAGGCAGCGCAACTATAACGACATGTGAATAATCCCGTCCATTCTAGCAATACTAAACTGCAGTGGAAACGCAAACCGTGCCGAGCCGTGCCGAGCTGTGCCGTGCCGTACTGAGCCGAGTCGTACCACGCAGTGGAAAAGCGCCATTTGTTTCTCTTTTGTATGTTCCCTTCCTTCATGCCACTCATTTTTGATGCTAAACTACATATAGAAATATGTTTTCAGAAAATTATTCAGAATACACAGTGCAGTCACTCAGTAATGGTCTACGCTTTTGCATTATGGGACTTCCAAGATGTTGAACATTCACAAACATTCGTTTTCCTTACTAAACTAAATGCCATTGTTTCCATTTTCCACCTTCACTCACCTTCCCCAGCTGATGCTTCTCATTTTATTCCTTTGAAATGGTAGATGTGAGGTAAATATTCAGATATAGGGGTTATAAATCTGTCCTTTGTAGACTAGCAATGTGCATGAAGGAGGCAGCAGAGGCCCATTTTGAGCGAAAATGCTTTTTGTGTTGAAAACAGAGGGACTTTATTCATGAGCTGATCTGAGGCTGAAGACCGCAGACCCCATCTCCCCACTGTGTGTATGTGTGTGTCTTGTTTCTACAGACTGTAATTGTAATCCCTTTGGCTCAGACACTGATCGCTGTAATGGCACAGGATATTGTAAATGTAAGGAGGGAGCGACAGGGGCTAAGTGCCATGAGTGTCTGCCAGGATATTTGTGGGACAATGGCTGCAAATGTAAGTAGAACCTCCACCCAACCTGCAGCTTCAGTCCCCTGCTCTCTTTTGCGTCTCTCTTTCTCTACCCCTCCCTCCCTTCTTCTTTCCCTCTTTCTATTTTCTCTGTTTGCTGCTTCTTTTTGGCTTACCCGGGAATGAGCAGCTTGGTTTGCTTACAGCACTTGGAAACAAAAACAAAAAAAACTTGGACTGACTTCCATCCGGGGCTCAGTCACACCTGTTATGCTGCCTTGTTAGTGGGTTAACTGCAGAATTCATTTTGAGGGAATTATTCTAATCATTTATTAGCATTGTTTTTATTAATAGTATTATTGTAGAATTTTTCTCAAGCACAGAGATAAACCATGCAAACAATCCTCGGGCACAATCCCATGCACGTGCATTTGCGCAGATGAACACAGGCAGCTGAGCTAATATTTGGAGTGAGCAGAACATTTTACGCCTGTGCTGTTTTCTCTGGCTGTTTGCTGTTATGGCCACACTGTGATGGCTGGTTCTTCTCTCTTGGCTCCAAGCGCTGTGGTTGAAACGATCCGTAGGTCAAGCATTGATTTGTATTCTTCAATGGGCTTCCAGCATCAAAGGTCAACATTTAACAAAGCCTCAGATATCACACAGGGACGTTGGCTGTAATAATGTGAGATGGACAGTCCAGTAAATATGTGTATATTGAGTTCTGTGTAGCTTTAGACCCAACACTACAAGGCTGGTTTAGTTGAGAAGCAGAAATTCACAACATCACACGTCACGAGAGTAAAGTAAACCAGAGCGTTTGGTACAAATAGTGACATGTGGCAAATGCACTCCCATTACTGTCTGTTCTGGGAAACATATTGGAGAGAAATAAAGAGACATGACTCTTTATACACATCCATCATTCACCAGCATGAAGATGCATTACCATGTGCCTGTTTCAGCCAATGGTATGCACTAAGGTAAATCACCATAACCATTTTAATTTGATGTTGTCATCAGCACAGACGCTTTTCGTTAGACGTCCTAGACAAGAGATTTAAGTTTTGAGCATTTGTCTCATTCAAAGTCCCAAAGGCCATAATGTGTGTGATAAATGCAATCTAAGGCTCATTTTCCTGATCCCGTCCATCTGTATGCAGATTTCGGTATGCAATTAATGCTCAAATCTTTCTTCAAATAAGCCTTTTCTTCCCAGCGCACCATGCAATCTACTGCTGTTCTCAATAAATATTATCCCTCTTATCAAAAGCAAACCCAATAAATTGCTCAATTCTCTTATTACCGTTTATTTACATGCAAGCAAATTGCAAATGCAGAACTGGAGGTTGAGCACTTTTTTCCTGCTTGTGAGTGCACATGCTTTAAACATACAGAGCTTCTGTTGCTCTCTTAAAATAGGTGCTTATATTTATTAGATGTGCATGGGCTCTAGAGAGCGTGGCGTAGGCTATAGAGGTTAAACTGTTTGTAGGACCAACAGCAGAGTAAATAGTTTCCATGCCCCCCTCCATTGGAAGGTAAAGGTGTTTGTTAGCACCCATAACAGCTATAAATCACTGACACGGCTCTTCTTGCCTCAGCACCTTTTCCTGGTCATCAGGGGATATCAAACTGAGGAGACAGAAAGAGTTGAACTCACAGGGTGAAGCAAAAAGACCCAAACTCTTGAGAGATACATTACCTGCAAAACTGTGCCTCTTTTAAGTCTTTCTTCAGATGAAGCACAAGAACACTCTTTCCAAAGGCCACAGTTGTGGAAAAGGCAATCGATCAATTTGCTCTCTTTCCCTCAAAGAGGAGGTGTTCTAAAACTCTTTCCACAGACACAATCCACTCATTACCTCTTACTTCTTTTTGTACAATCTCCTTTTCATGAACAGTTTGGTAAAAGGCAACATTGATGTCTCAATTGCAAACAGTCAATATGCCGTACACTTGTGAAGACTCAATTCATTTATAATAGGAAACATCTACAGTAGTCTAAACGTGTTTTGTGCAGTTTAGGAGTTTAAAATCTCCTATCCAGAACACTGAATCAATAAAGAATCTCTATCTTTTGATTCATCATTTCTTTATTGTTTCTTAAAGACAAGGAAAAATAGACAGGGTAAAATGTGCTCAGGGACAGTTGATGGTCAGGTCATTACTACACCAGAGAAAAACAGGCACTGTAAAAATAAAAAAGGAAGTTGTAAATAAAGCAAAGATTATTACAGTACATTTTACAAGAAAATACTGTTTCAGTCTTTCTACTATAATTCTGCATCATATTCCATTTATTGCCATTTCTTTGGAATTCTTTGAAATTTACTAGCAATTTCTGAGGGAAAATAGTTTACAAGTAAATCCTACACCTTTTTTTGTTAGATTCTTTTATTAAGACTAGATAAACTAATCTAATCTAGATACTCTAATCTACATCAACTTCAAACACAAATAGCTTATTGAGGGCAACTATAACTTTGTTATAATGCCCATATGTTTCTTAACATTTTGACTCTGATTTAAGAAGTCTTACAAGATCGGAGAGAAAAGACTGAAACAAGTGAAGTGTTACATTAGGTAAATGCCCTATTTTGGCTAAATTTAAGAAATAATCTAATACATTTTAATTTACTGTAAATTATTATTATTATTTCTTAACATTTGTTATTTCTTAACATCGATACAAATATTTCTTAACATTTGATATTTCTTAACACCTTGATACAATTATTATTATTATTATTATTATTTAAACAAAATTGTGTCAGTTTGTTCCAAACATTAAGAAATTTATGATTTGCCTACAAATACTATTGAGACTGATACTAATTGAACCCATTCGATCTTTATGCGTGTTAATCACCGATAATTCAAATAGCTTGTTCATCTTGCAGGTACAATTTCTGGGTCTTGTTTTGTGGTGCGAGTGTGGGTTTTCACTAGGGAACGATTGATCTGCATCGTAAAAAGACTCGGCAGTGATGAACAGAGGGAATTATGGACACAAACAGGGGCTCATTTTTCCCTGACTCAACCATAAAGCCCGTATCCACACAGATGGAGAGAGAGAAGCTGGAGACCATGTAGTTTTGCCAGCTCCCTAATCAGCCTGTTATGACTGGAGAGTTACACCTCTTCTCTCTATCATCCAGCTCTTCCTGTCTGCTCAGTCCAGCCCAAAATAGCTCAGTAACAGCCATTAAACAGATGCTGCGACGCACAAGACCTCTCAGAATCATTCCTCGCAAACTGATAGAGGTCAGCGTTTGTGTGTTAGATGATTATTTTCCAATCAGCAGAATTACAATGCTTTGATGAAGACGTGAAAGGCATGGCTTGTTCATCCGTTTTTATTTGTCTCTGTTGGTTTTGCTAGTTTACACTGGAATTTGTTTGCCTGAAGCTTGCTCAACAGCTTACGTCCGAGGTCTGGCCTGTTGTTAAATGCACCTGATACATCTGAGGGGAATGCAAGTCATTGTCAGGGATTTGGAGAAACCGCTGCCGTGTTAATGGTTTGGGTTAATGCCAGGTCTCTTGAGAGACATTTTCTTTATTTTGAGGTGGCCGTTGAGCAGGGATGCTTTTTGGAACATTTTAATCAAATCTCGAGTTCAATTTTCTGTAAGAAAAAAAGTCTATTAATATTTTTCACTTATGAATTTCTATTAATAATGATATTAAGTTTTCTACTTGTGATTCATTTCAATCAATACTTTGCCTGCACTTTGTATTGACTATTTCTGTCTATTTTCAGCAATAGATGAATATATGATATCTCAGGATAGAGCTCTATGTAATCATAGAAGTGTTCATACTTGTTTGGGTGTAGCCTATATGTGTGTGTGTGTGGGTTTTTGTCTTCTGCTTACCCTTTTCCTCTCAATGCCACAGCCCGAGTGTGTGACAACGAACTTCTGCGTTGCCAAAACGGCGGCGTGTGTGTGAACAACATCCGTTGTCAGTGTCCTCCGGCATTCACCGGCCTGCTTTGTGAGAAACCGCGGTGCGAGAACGAGCCAGGCGGCTGCGGAGGGTCAGACTCGGGCCAGGCTTCCCTCCGTCCCCCTGGGCTGATCCTGCTTTCGCTGCTGTCCGTCCTGGGTCCCGTTTTCCTCGTGGAGATCTGCTGGATCCTTTGAGAGGCAGATCTCCGACTGTCCAGCTTCTTCTGTATAAGCAGCGCACCAGACCCACCGACACTCGGCCGGCCATGTGGAATGTGCCCAAATATCAAAGCGAAATTTCTGAGGATGACAGACAAAATACAATAAATAATACATCAATAAAAATAGTATTTATAAAAATTGATTCAATATGAAAATCGAAAAGTAAAAAAAAACATCAAGGTGTTATTTATAGAATTTACCTGAGCATATGCTTCATGAAGCAAATAAGAGGAAGTAGAGATGTGAACTAAGCCATAATAGATACTCCCCTATCAGAATGAGAGAGTGACAGGGATTGGAGCGGACAAGACTCATCCCTTTCCTCCCTTTATCACCAAGGCAACGGGAGCTGCATTCAGCCAGCGGCATGTACAAGTAAAGCCAGCTGCCACCCCTCACCTGAGCCATTCTGGGTATCATGTTGGCTGTAGACTGCTTTTGGCTATTGTGACACGGAGCGATGGAAAACTGTCCGGATTGTGTGAACTGGCAATTACGGAAAAAAAAACAATATGGAGAAAGACTCAAGAAAAGAAAAGAAACAAGCATTCTTTGCTGTCAGTGCATTGTGGATATAAGAAAATCTATTCAGACTGTCACATTTGATCCGCTTTCAAATTGAGCTCGTCCCGCTAACACGTCCCACCTCACCTTCAAAAACAAACTTTAGAGTGTCCTTTACGTCAAAAGCCCCATCCTTCCTCCACCCTGTGCTTTTGTGAATGTTATTCTGTAACCCTTGATATTTTTTTTAGTACAGTATATATAATTTTTTGGTTTTCCTTTCAGTCTGTGTGATTTTAGTCACACTCATGTGGCACACCCCCTTATCCTCCAAAAAATATGATGAATATGAAATAGAATATGAAAATATGAAATGTGACGGACTGTTTGCTGAGGCCACGGTCAAAGATGTATGTTTTCACCCAAACAGATGAAGTGCTTAGACAGTCATCAGTGTATTTAATTTTTGTATTAATACAGAAGTTATTTTCTTGACAGAGTAAAGATAATGTAGAACATATACTTTTTTGTATTATTGCTGAAATGTGTTTAAGGGCAACATTTTAGTGCATTCAATCAAGGTGCATACTGAATTAAATATCTGATTATGCTGGTCTGAAATTTATTTTATTTCATTTACACTTTTGTTTTCTCCTTCAGTTGGATTGTGAAGTTTTCCTAAAGTATATTGGCAACGTGCTGGCATCAAAGAATATCAGTTTACATACAGTATATATACTGACGTGTAAAAAAGAAAATCACACCAAAGGACATTCTAAATGTTTTCTTGTTGCTTTAACACTGAGAAATTTAAGTGAATAAAACTTTAAAAGGACTTTATGTAGCTGTGTTGTACTGTTGTATGTGTCTTTTATTGCAGAATGAAGAATCTAAATTTTCCCTGCGATGAAAGCATGATAAATAATCGCATATGTCTTTATATAACGCATGCATATAAATTGCATACTTTGCAGAATAGTGGAAAATGCTTTAAGCCTCAGAATTTTCTGCACACCATTTATCTCAAATTCAATACAGTAATGATTTGTTTCAGTGAAACGCATTATCGGATGGGCAGAATTAAATATTAACAGCTATTGATGTCTGTTTGAGAGCCTGTTTTATGGAGTTGGTCTTGCCTGCGAGTAAACTGCCCATCTATCGCACGGGTTTGTTTTAAGCAGAAAGTTTTACAGCCTTTTTCACGATTATAAAGTGTGTGACAATACAGGCCTGCTAAATGAATCATTTTGAAGGAGATGCTCCAGACACATTTGTCTTTATCTGCAGTGATTCTTAGTAACTAGGTACTAATTTATGAATCTTGTGTTTGTGTGTGTTTTTATGTGTTTGTGTATCTGCTTTCAAAACAAAACAAATGTTAAGTAATATTGCACTTTCACATTAGTGAAAAAAAAAAAATAAAATATATATATATATATAAAAAAAAAATTTCACCATACACCCTAAAAAAGATCAACTAGTCCAGAGATGCTCTTATAGTTATTCCTTGGCTGAGAAAACTGGAGTTCACCATGTGTACATTTGTGTTATATTGGTTCAGAAATGCAACTTTCTCTTTATCAAGGCCGACATACACAACACTGACAAAGAGAATAAACAATTCAGTGCATCTATATACTCATCAGATCCACTGTGTATTCAACAAATTATTTGAACCAAGCCAACAAACAGGCTCAGCCAAAATCAGCTGCATTGTTCCAGTTGATCACTCCTATTTATAGGTGGAAAGATACTGCAGATTATTTAAAAAAAAGATCCAGTGAGTTTTTTTTTTCTGCATATTTGATTACATTTATTTCTATTTTTCTTAAAGCGATGTGTCAAACTTTTTCTTGCATCTGGAGTTAATCTGCCCTTGAACAAGGCAGCCTATTGATTTTTAAATCAGCTTTTCCATTTGTTAAGAAGTTCAGCTTCAGTAAACATGATGATTTTTTACTTCAGGCACATTCAACTTTTCCATTGATAACAGGAATGAAAATCCTGAGGATTCATTTAACGTTGACCGTTTCAGGGTTTTGATTTATGGTTTCCTATTCAGGGTAAGACTTGCAATGTTGCACACACTTTTATCAGCTTATATCACAAAAACACACATGGAAGTATTCAGACGAATTAAGAATATGTTTCTGGAATGACCCATTTGATATGATAATGTCACAACAGCACAGGAAACGTGAACCAAGGTTACCCAAAGAACTGCTAAACTCAGATGACTGACTGGCTTCGGTAAGATCATTATCCACCATTCAGCATCTCGCTTTTCTTCCCAGAACAAAAGCCCAACTTTGGCTCGGCATCTAAGTCCTTCTCTTGGAGGAGTAATGGTGATATTGTTCCCTCTGCTGCTAATGGGAATATCTCTAAAAAACACACACACACAGGCTTTCTAAAGGGAAACCACGCTGCATTTGGTATTTGGCTGCAAGAAGACATTCATTTGTCAGATTTGATGGAATGGAGAAGCTCAGCCCATTGTATGAAGAGCAAAACAAGGTGGATGGGTTCATGTTTGCACACTAAAGGTAGAATACATGAATGAAGTATAGCACTGGAGAATGTGTGAGCACTGGAGAATCCTGAAGGTCAAACCATTGTGGAAATGTAAAAGGTCTTCAAGATTGTTTAGGATGAATTCATTTCAATAACAAGAAAAAGTCATACGAATGTAGGTAGAAGCACCAGCACAAAGAATAATATGAAAGAACATTTTAATAGAACTGAGAACATTTATGGAAGTTCAAGAATCCCTACAGACCACAAGTGTGTGTGGAATATGAATAACCAAAACTTCATTACTCATAACCTTCAATGTTTTTAAACATATAGGTGAGGGGAAAATGGGAATCATATCTGAATTCATTTAGAGTCTATTACAGCACTCAGTGCTCACAATAAG